AGATAAATCTCAACGCGGGGTTGTAACTTATGACTTGCAAACAGAATTTCCGTTGAAGGGAATACTAAATCGTAAAGTTCTTGACCTCCGGGACCGCAGGGTTGGGTTCACGGACCATAAGGCCGCTCTAAATCCAAGAAAGTTACCCGCGTTTCCATGCGATCCACGTTTCCGTCGGTTGAAATACGAGGGGAAATGTGGATTTTAAACCAAAAAAGAACAAAGTCGCGAAATCATTCGTATTCAATTCTCCGTAAACATCATACATATTCAAAACGTTTAATTTTTATTAAAACACGTTGATTAAGATGCATGTAGATCTGTGTTATTGGCTCAATTGGAATGCGATCAACTCTCAAGCGTTTTCCCTTTCTTTTAACATATGCGATTTCGATCTTAATCAATATTTCAATTATTGCGATTTACATAATTTATCTTAACCCATATTTGTTAAATTAAAATTTAATAATTTTAAAGTTTAATCTTGCAAATATGATGTTTTCTCGGTGGAAAAGAAGGTCTCGTCGTCTGCCCGGTTTAATTCTACCCGTTTATGAAAGGTAACAAAACGACCAACAAAGATGTAACGCTCGGCATCAATCAAGCTTAAAGCCAATTAAGAGCGATACGGGCGAAAATTTGTTGTAGTTTTTTTTTAATTTGCAACGAGAGGCGCCTACGCAAACTTCTCCAGGCTTTTAAATTTTGCATACGCCTTCGAAAACGGTTTTAAATTATTTTATACTCTCGTTGCGATTAAAATGTGTACAAAAGTTTCAAAAAGAATTTTAATCGACATTGTTTTCAATCCAATTAAGTTTTTCGCACCATCCGCGAAGAGTTTATGCAGGAATCGCGTGTCTGGTGACATTCTTAAGCTACATCTTTTTGATTTACTTTTTTTTGTCGTTATTACTTGGAAATTGCGCGCGTGCTGGTTAAATTTTGCCAAGAGGAAATTGGGTTGAAGTTAACGGCCGGGCCGCCGTCAAAGATGGGTTTTGATTTATAGATGTAAATTTTTAAAATTGGTCCCTTCGCTGCTTGATCGACGTCCGCCCCTTTTATGGTAATTCCCCGGCGACACCTAACATTTCCTTTAAGACTCAATTACTTGTAATTTTTATCGATTTGTTAAAGTCTCAACGAGATATTTATCTTTAAAAACGTCGAGAAAGTGATTATTTTTTGTTAAAAATTATTTAATAAATTTTTTTTTAAATTTTATGTTGAAATAAAAATAATATGGAGTTTAATAGATAGAAAATTAAAAATCCTTTAAAATGATACCAAACACGACCAATTTATTGTAAAAAATAACGGAGATATCACCAAAAATTTATTCAGAAACAATCGAAAATCTCAAAAAACAAAAAAACATCAATATTTTTGAATCATCATATCTTGGGCGATTTTAAACATAAATATATCGTGTTTGGACTCGTTTCAAAGGATTTTTTATTTAAATTTAAAATATTTAAGTTTTATCAACCCCTCTAGACTTTTTCTTGTGAATTTTCGTGAATTCGCTGGTTTTGGCATAAAGTCGCTCTCAAAGTCAACATAAGATAGGATATCGTTCAAATTCAGCAAGAGTCCCACCTTATTTATGACCCCCAGACGAATGAAGATTCGCTATGGCATCGTTCTGGGTCCTTTAACTACCACCACTCCACTATGTATAATCAACCCCTTTATTCCCTTCCCTAACTCATAACTCATTACCATATAAACCCCACCTTTTTATTTTTTACACCACTTCAAATCTAGCAATTCTAATCATGTCAATGTGAATTGCTGAGTGTTTTTATAAAAAGCGTTAAAAATCGGCTTTTCAACCGATTTAATCAAAACTTTCAAAAATTGGTAAGAAAACTGTGTTCTTTCGAATGAAAAAGACCGATTTTAAAAATATCTTTTAGTTTTCGAGATATTAACAATTGAAATTGAGATAAATTTTTGACGTTTCAGAAATTGCAATTTTTCCAGCTCTTATAAAAATCGTCAAAAATCGAATTTTCAACCGAATTAATCAAAACTTTCAGAATTCATTAAGAAAAATATGTTCTTTCGAATAAAAAAGACCGATTTTAAAGATATCTTTTAGTTCTTGAGATATTTCTTGTTGAAATTAAACAAAAATTTTGACGTTTTAGAAATTGCAAGTTTTGTAGGTTCTTTCTATAAAAATCGTCAAAAATCGACTTTTCAACCGATTTAATCAAAACTTTCAAAAATTGGTAAGAAAACTATGAAGTTTCGCATGAAAAAGACCAACTTTAAAAATGTCTTTTAGTTCTTGTGATATTAATTGTTGAAATTAAGATAAATTTTTGACGTTTCAGAAACTGCAATTTTTTCCTGTTCTTTTTATAAAAATCGTTAAATATCGACTTTTCAACCGATTTAATCAAAACTTTCCCAAAATATTAAGAAAACTATGTTCTTTCTAATGAAAAAAACCGATTTTGAAAATATCTGTTAGTTCTTAAGATATTAGTTAGTGAAATTAAGAAAAATTTTTGACGTTTCAGAAATTGCAATTTTTCCGGTTCTTTTTATAAAATTCGTTAAAAATCGACTTTTCAACCGATTTAATCAAAATTTTCAAAAATTGGTAAGAAAACAATAATCTTTCGAATGAAAAAGACCGATTTTAAAAATGTCTTTTAGTTCTTGAGATATTAATTATTGAAGTTAAGATAAATTTTTGACGTTTCAGAAACTGCAATTTTTCCAATTCTTTTTATAAAATTCGTTATAAATCGACTTTTCAACCGATTTAATCAAAACTTTCCTAAAATATTAAGAAAACTATGTTCTTTCTAATGAAAAAACCCGATTTTGAAAATATCTTTTAGTTCTTGAGATAATAATTATTGAAATTAAGAAAAATTTTTGACCTTTCAGAAATTGTAATTTTTCCGGTTCTTTTTATAAAAATCGTTAAAAATCGACCTTTCAACCAGATTAATCAAAACTTTCAAAAATTATTAACCAAACTGTGTTCTTTCGAATGAAAAAGACCGATTTTAAAAATATCTTTTAGTTCTTGAGATATTAATTGTTGAAATGAAGATAAATTTTTGACGTTTTAGAAATTGCAATTTTTTCCTGTTCTTTTTATAAAATTCGTTAAAAATCGACTTTTCAATCGATTTAATCAAAACTTTTAAAAATTATTAAGAAAACTATGTTCTTTCGAATGAAGAAGGCCGATTTTAAAAATATCTATTAGTTCTTGAGATATTAGTTATTGAAATTAAGATACATTTTTGACATTTTAGAAATTGCAGTTTTTTCCGGTTTGTTTTATAAAAATCGTTAAAAATCGGCTTATCAACCGATTTAATCAAAACTTTCTAATATTATTAAGAAAACTATGTTCTTTTGAATGAAACAGACCGATTTTAAAAATATCTTTTAGTTCTTGACATATTACTTATTGAAATTAAGATAAGTTTTTGACGTTTTAGAAATTGCAATTTTTTCCTGTTCTTTTTATAAAATTTGTTAAAAATCGACTTTTCAATCGATTTAATCAAAACTTTTAAAAATTATTAAGAAAACTATGTTCTTTCAAATGAAAAAGACCGATTTTAAAAATATCTTTTAGGTCTCGAGATATTAATTGTTGAAATTAAGATAAATTTTTGACGTTTTAGAAATTTGCAATTTTTTCCTGTTTTTTTTATAAAATTCGTTAAAAATCGACTTTTCAACCGATTTAATCAAAACTTTCAAAAATCATTAAAAAAACTATGATTTTTCAAATGAAAAAGACCGATTTTAAAAATATCTTTTAGTTCTTGAGATATTAATTATTGAAATTGAGATACATTTCTGACGTTTTAGAAATTGCATTTTTTCCGGTTGTTATTATAAAATTCGTTAAAAATCGACTTTTCAACCGATTTAATCAAAACTTTCCAAAATGATTAAGAAAACTATATTCTTTCGAATGAAGAAGACCAATTTTAAAAATATCTTTTAGTTCTTGAGATATTACTTATTGAAATTAAGAAAAATTTTTGACGTTTTAGAAATTACAATTTTTTCCTGTTTTTTCATAAAATTCATTAAAAATCGACTTTTCAACCGATTTAATCAATACTTTCCAAAATTATTAAGAAAACTATAATCTTTCAAATGAAACAGACCGATTTTAAAAATATCTTTTAGTTCTCGAGATATTAATTGTTGAAATTAAAATAAATTTTTGACGTTTTAGAAATTGCAATTTATTCTTGATCTTTTTATAAAATTCGTTAAAAATCGACTTTTCAACCGATTTAATCAAAACTTTCCAAAATAATTAAGAAAACTATGTTCTTTCGAATGAAGAAGACCAATTTTAAAAATATCTGTTAGTTCTTGAGATATCAATTATTAAAATTAAGATAAATTTTTGACGTTTCAAAAATTACAATTTTTACCGATTCTTTTTATAAAAATCGTCAAAAATCTAATTTTGAACCGATTCGATTAAAACTTTCAAAAATTATTCAGAAAACTATGTTCTTTCGAATAAAACGGACAGATTTTAAAAATGTCTCTTACAGATACATTTCTGACGTTTTAGAAATTGCAATTTTTTCCAGTTCTTTTTATAAAAATCATTAAAAATCGACATTTCAATAGATTTAATCAAAACTTTCAAAAATTGGTAAGAAAACTATGATCTTTCGAATGAAAAAGATCGATTTTAAAAATATCTTTTAGTTTTTGAGATATTAATTATTGAAATTGAGATACATTTTTGACGTTTTACAAATTGCAATTTTTTCTGGTTTTACTTATAAAAATCGTTAAAAATCGACTTTTCAACCGATTTAATCAAAATTTTCCAACATTATTAAAAAAATTATGTTCTTTCGAATGGAAAACCCCGATTTTAAAAATATCTTTTAGTTCTATATCTAAAGATATCCTTTTAGACATGAATTTTTTGTATGTGAATATATATATTTGTATCTGAATGTATATATTTTTTGTTATAGGTCAAAATGGTGATGATTCCTCATTAAACTCATCAAAAAGTTCAAGTGGTGCGATAAGTAAAAAACAACGAAAAGCTCGAACAGCTTTTACCGACCTTCAATTACAAACGTTAGAGAAAAGTTTCGAACGTCAAAAATACCTCAGCGTTCAAGATCGAATGGAATTAGCGGCTAAATTGAGTTTAACCGATACTCAGGTCAAAACGTGGTATCAAAATAGAAGGTAAGCATCATTACGTTTGTTAAATTTCTTTTTTTAATAAATCTCAATTAGTTTAAATCGAATGAATCCTTTACAACGCAAAAAAGGTAACCGCAACGAATAAAAATAAACACACACGAGCGGTTTTTTTGAAAGGAATCTTTTTGTTGTATAGAGGAGGTAATAACAACTCGAACGACAATTACATCGAAATATTTCACTTATTCGAAGGGGGGCGATAAGTGCTCGACGATTCGAGTTGACAATTCGTGAGAACCCCCTATTGAGTATAATTAATTTCGAAAAACCACCCCTTAATTTTTTTTTGATGTACTGTTGATTAAAAAAGTAATGCAGCAAAACTAGAAATAATTTTTTTTGTTAAAATTTTCTTCTTTAAAGTTTATTCTTTGGTGAGTATCGGTTAGTCTTATGAGAAAGAGCGTGTCGAATGTGACCAATAGCCTGTAAGCAGGCATGAGAATTTGGCCTTTGTGTTGTCCCGACGGATGGGCCATCTGAAGCCGAAGAAGACTGACGTGCAACGTCATCTGTGATCAAATTAATCAAGGTTGTTTGTTCAGCATCAAAGCGAGTCTCGTTTCTTCTGAACGGACGCGTTCGAAACCCGATAAAAAAAGCGTTTTAGAATAAAAAAAAACGGATCGAAGATCATCGGTCCGTGTCTTCGTTTTAATAGCATTTACTCGACTTAAATTTTAATATACACAAAACGGAATGTTTAAGCCGGAAAAAGTTTCGTTCGAGAATGAATTAGAAAAAATCAATTACCTCCGAGTCTTTTCTCTAGAAGCGTTTTCAATTTTAAATGGATAGATTTTTAGATTATTTTTATTTACTTACTTTTATGTTTGTTTCGCTTTTTTTAGATTTAAACGTACAAACAAAAGATTTCCCTGTTAATTTACAGTCGCTCCTCTTTGTTCACGAAATCCGGCAAACAAAAAGACAACTGAAAAAGCTCTCGACGCTCTCGCGTTGTGCATTTTAATTGTTCCGAAGCTAAATGGTAATCCCTTTTTTTTATCAAGCTCAGTTGTAAAAAGCTCTCAGCACCAGGAAACGTTGGAGTACCGTCCAATCGATGAACGCGGTTTTTTTTCAATGAGAGCTTTTCGTGATAGACAAAAATCGTGATTTATTCGTCGCCTGGGTTGGAAGTGAGCAAATATCAACCCTAAAACCAGACCGAATATGAAAGAATCTCGCGTGTTACGCGAACCGACCACACGCAACCTCGCCAATTAAACCTAATTTCCACTCCGCACTCTGCAAACTACACATTTTCCTGTCATGTTCTATTTGCATAGCGCAACCCTCTCTTAACGTTAGTATTTATGCAATTGTAATTTACAAGTAAAATGTTTGCTTTTTTTTTAATATAAAAAAATTTATTTAAATTTAAAAAAATCAGACTCTTTAAATTGTCTAGTTGATCAAATGACCTAATACAACAAATGATCCAATTGATCAAATGACCTAATACCTCAAATGGTCTAATTGACCACAAGAAATAATACTCATCGCGAATTTCTTTGTTTGAGGTTAAGCATCGTTGAATTGGAAAAGCAGACACCAATTTATTATGTGCATTAAGTACAGATTTGCTCTGTGGGATAGCAATTCTTAATCACGTCAATGTGAATGCCGTTCGCTTAGAACAAATAGCATCATCAACTCGAGCAGTTTTAGTGAATTTAAAATGGAAGTAATTTGCAATTTCGCCGATTGTTTTTATAAAAATCGACTTTTCATCCGATTTGATCAAAAATTACTAAGAAAACTGTGTTCTTTCGAATGAAACGAACCGATTTTAAAAATATCTTTTAGTTCTTGAAATATTGTTTGTTGAAATTAAGATTAATTTTTAACGTAATTTTTCCGATCTTATTTTCAAAATTCGTTAAAAATCGACTTTTCAACCAAATTATTCAAAACATTCCAAAATTATTAACAAAACTATGCTCTTTTAAACGAAAAAGACCGATTTTAAAAATATCTTTTAGTTCTTGAGATATCGATTGTTAAAATTAAGATACATTTATGACGTTTTAAAAATTGTTACGGCTCTTTTTATAAAAATCGTTAAAAATCGACTTTTCAACCGATTTCATTAAAACTTTCCAAAATTATTAAGAAAACTATGTTCTTTCGAATGAAAAAGACCGATATTAAAAATACCTTTTAGTTCTTGAGATATTAATCGTTGAAATTAAGATAAATTTTTGATGTTTTAAAAGTTGCAGATTTTTCCTGCTCTTTTTATAAAAATCGTTAAAAATCTGATTTTGAACCGATTTAATCAAAACTTACAAAAATTGGTAAGAAAACTGTGATCTTTCGAATGAAAAAGACCGATTGTAAGAATATCTTTTAGTTCTTGAGATATTAATTGTTAAAATTAACATAAATTTTTGACGTTTCAGAAATTGCAATTTTTCCAGCTCTTTTTATAAAAATCATTAAAAATCGACTTTTCAACCGATTTCATCAAAAATTATTAAGAAAACTATGTTCTTTCGAATGAAAAAGACCGATATTAAAAATACCTTTTAGTTCTTGAGATATTAATCGTTGAAATTAAAATAAATTTTTGACGTTTAAGAAATTACAATTTTTCCGGTTCTTTTTATAAAATTCGTTAAAAAACGACTTTTCAACCGATTTAATCAAAACTTTCAAAAATGGTTAAGAAAACTATGTTCTTTCGAATGAAAAAGACCAATTTTAAAAATACCTTTTAGTTCTTAAGATATTAATTGTTAAAATTAAGGTATATTTTTCACCATTTAAAAATTTCAATTTTTTTCCGATTCTATTTTTAAAAATCATTAAAAGTTGACTTTTCAATAAAAGTAATTAAAACTTTCCAAAATTATTAAGAACACTACGTTCTTTCGAACGAAAAAGACCGATTTTTAAAATATCTTTTAGTTCTTGAGATATTAATTATTGAAATTGAGATAAATTTCTGACGTTTTAGAAATTGCAATTTGTCCGGTTCTTTTTATAAAATTCGTTAAAAATCGACTTTTCAAACAATTTAATCAAAACTTTCCAAAATGATTAAGAAAACTATATTCTTTCGAATGAAGAAGACCAATTTTGAAAATATCTCTTAGTTCTTGAGATATCAATTGTTGAAATTAAGATAAATTTTTGACGTTTTACAAATTGCAATTTTTTTCTGTTCTTTTTATAAAATTCGTTAGAAATCGACTTTTCAACCGATTTAATCAAAATTTTCAAAAATTATTAAGAAAACTATGATCTTTCAAATGAAATAGACCGATTTTAAAAATATCTTTTAGTTCTTGAGATATTAATTGTTGAAATTAAAATAAATTTTTGACGTTTAAGAAATTACAATTTTTCCGGTTCTTTTTATAAAATTCGTTAAAAATCGACTTTTCAATCAAATTAATTAAAACTTTTCAAAAGTGTAAAAGGAACTATGTTCTTTCGAATGAAAAAGACCGATTTTAAAAATATCTTTTAGTTCTTAAGATATTAATTGTTAAAATTAAGGTATATTTTTGATGATTTAGAAATTGCAATTTTTCTGGTTCTTTTTATAAAAATCGTTAAAAATCGACTTTTCAATCAAAATAATTAAAACTTTCCAAAATTGTTAAAAAAACTATGTTCTTTCGAATACACAAGACCGATTTTAAAAATATCCTTTAGTTCTTGAGATATTAATTGTTAAAATTGAGGTATATTTTTCACGATTTAAAAATTTCACTTTTTTTCCAATTCTATTTTTAAAAATCATTAAAAATCGACTTTTCAATCAAATTAATTAAAACTTTCCAAAATTGTTAAAAAAACTATGTTCTTTAGAATGAAAAAAACTGATTTTAAAAATATCCTTTAGTTCTTGAGTTATCAATTGTTAAAATTAAGATAAATTTTTGACGTTTTGGAAATTGTAATTATTCCAGTTCATTTTATAAAAATCGTTAAAAATCGACTTTTCAACCGATTTAATCGAAACCTTCCAAAATTATTAAGAAAACTATGTTCTTTCGAATGAAAAAGACCGATTTTAAAAATGTCTTTTAGTTCTTGAGATATTACTTGTTGAAATTTAACAAAAATTTTGACGTTTTGGAAATTGCAATTTTTCCAGTTCATTTTATAAAAATCGTTAAAAATCGACTTTTCAACCGATTTAATTGAAACCTTCCAATAATATTAAAAAACCTATGTTCTTTCGAATGAAAAATATCGATTGTAAAAATATCTTTTAGTTCTTGAGATATTCCTTGTTGAAATTAAACAAAAATTTTGACGTTTTAGAAATTGCTAGTTTTTCAGGTTCTTTTTATAAAAATCGTTAAAAATCGACTTTTCAACCGATTTAATCGAAACCTTCGAAAATTATTAAGAAAACTATGTTCTTTCGAATGAAAAAGACCGACTTTAAAAATGTCTTTTAGTTCTTGAGATATTCCTTGTTGAAATTAAACAAAAATTTTGACGTTTTCGAAATTGCAAGTTTTTCAGGTTCTTTTTATAAAAATCGTTAAAAATCGACTTTTCAACCGATTTAATCGAAACCTTCCAAAATTATTAAGAAAGCTATATTCTTTCGAATGCAAAAGACCGATTTTGAAAATATCTTTTAATTCTTGAGATATTACTTATTGAAATTAAGATAAATATTTGACGTTTTAAAAATTATAGTTTCTTCCGGCTCTTTTTATAAAAATCGTTAAAAATCGGCTTTTTAACCGATTTAATCAAAACTTTCCAAAATTATTAAAAAAACTGTATTCTTTCGAACAAAAAAGTCCGATTTTAAAAATATCTTTTAGTTGTTGAGATATTACCTATTGAAATTAAGATAAATTTGTGACGTTTTAAAAATTGCATTTCTTTCTGTTTATTTATATAAAGATCATATCTTAAGAACGAATTGAGATATCATAATAATTTAAGAAAATTAATACACCATAAATAATTTCTCATTTTCCATTAAACTTCATCGTTACGAT